TTTTTTTTTTTTTTTTTCCAAATGCTTAAATACTTTCTTAATAAATGGTCTTCTGTGCTGGTTTGTATGTGAGCTATGGATTCAATTTGTGTGCATTAACATGAAAAATGGGAAGATAGGGAGATTCATTATTGATGCAGATGTTAAAAAATCTACAATATTGTTGTTTGCATCTTCAATGGTCCTATGGTGTTAATGATGTGTCATTCTTTTTGTCATTGTTATCATTATGATAGGATGCTTCGTAAAAATGGACAGTTTGCATCATTAAAACAAAATTCAGGTGATTCTGGTTGGGATTCGGCACAAAGTGGCCTTCAAGAGGGCACTTCTCGACCGGAAACTGTGTGAGTTCCAAGCTTATTCTGGTTCTACTGATTTCTGCAGTTGATTTGTAGTTCTTATTGAAGTTTTCCTGTTGACAATGTTGTCATGTTCAACGCTTTTACCTGTTTCTGCTGCATTTTCAGCTTACGGCGATGTCAACATTGTGGAGTTAGTGAAAATAATACTCCTGCAATGCGCCGTGGACCTGCTGGGCCAAGAACCTTATGTAATGCATGTGGTCTTATGTGGGCGAATAAGGTTGGTTTATACTGTTTTTTTTACTCTGTAAAAATATTAATTTTATGATATGCCAACTTGTCAATCTCTCTCTCTCTCTCTCTCGTCCTTATTGCTATGTTACAGATGCCTGTTACTGTCTCCTCAAGTAACCTTTCATTTTCCTTCACCAGTATATTGATTGTGCAGGGAACACTGAGAGATCTCAGCAAGGGAGGAAGGAACCTTACCATGGACCATATAGAACCTGTATGTGCAACATTTGATATAGAGAATATGAATATTTCTTCAATATAAAAGTTGAATCCATTTTCAAGTGGTTAATCATTATTTATATGCTTCTCCTTTATGTTGTGAATTAGCTGAGAATTTTTTTTAAAAAATCTAGCCTTTTTACACTTTAGTCCTCAAATATTTGTACTTTGCTGTTTTCCTGTTGCTACCATTGGCATGATTGATCTACATAATGACAAAAATGATATTTACAGGGAACACCAATCGAAGTGAAGCCTTTACTTGTTGAAGGAGAATTTTCTGGAAACCAGGATGAGCATGTATAATTTTTCTCCCCTATTACTATTACCTCCTATGCGAAGTGCTGTGCTCGTTCTATATACCTAATAATTATTGTGTGCACAGGGAACACTTGAAGGTCCTTCTAAAACAGTTATTGAAAGATCCAATGATGCTTCTGTCAACCTGGATGAGCAAGTATGTTTTGCATTTATGGTGCTAGCTCTGCTATGCTTATTTTTATATTGTTTGTTATGTAATGTCAAACATGCTGATCTAAGTGTTTTTCCTTGGACAAGTTTTAACTTTTTTTATCAGACCCAAAGTACACTTATTAGTTGGGGGACCTAGGATTGAGATTGTGAGATGATCCAAAATACAACCTCAGTACTAGTTAACTACCAAATGGATATGTTATGCATACTAGCATCGTTTTATAACATTTATAAGTAAAGTCCATTAGTAATAGAAGTCTACAGAGCATCTGGTCTTATGTTGATGAACACAGGTGGCTAACCGTGGACCACATTTTGACAAATGTACTGTAGATTGACTGATAAGCTGACAGCTCTCTTTCATGAATCAGATTCATTTATTTATTGAACTCACTATTACCTTATTTGACTAGTATGTATATTTTCTGGTCAGAATACTTTTTGGTGTTGGGTGATAAATATAATTTTCATCTTGTTGGTTTTAAAGGTCACTGCCAGTTCGTTTCTAATATTTGGTCACAATACACATGTAGCATATTGAAATAACTAGTGAGAAAAATTCACAGCATAAATCTTCTTTTATATTTAATCAGATCAACCTGTAAAATATGTATTTAGTTTTTGTTGTTACATGCCGCAGGATTTGCATGAAACCGCTGAAGATCTTACAAACAGTTTGCCGATGGGGATTGTTTCCTCAGCCAATGATGAGCAGGTATGATATGTGTGTGGGCCAAATAATTGTGCAGAGTGCTCTTTATGTAACTAGCTATTATAATGGATAGATTCCGGTCTGTGCTAATAATCAAGCAAAGAACTTTGGTCCAGTGAAATTTAAAAGCATACCTTTATGTGTGTTTTGATCCCCATTAATAAATGAGGCCTCTTTGATATACAATAACTTATGTTGAAGTTTTGGTATCCGCAGGAACCTCTGGTTGAGCTCACTAATCCTTCGGATACAGATTTAGACATCCCTACTAATTT